TTCAGTCTGTTCTTATCTCTAGGGGGACTTCAAGATGCATGAGGATAAGAAACATAGAGCAAAATACAAGTCCTTGGGTGATTCTGAAAAGAAGCTTCAATTCTTTTCAGCTCGACAAATTGCATGCCGCTTGCTTGGAAGTAGGCATTACCTTTGTCAGAAGGTATATGCATGACTTGATTTTTAATCACACTATGTCACTGTTTATGTCGGTAAAACTATCTGGTTCCTGATCCATATTTGTAACTTATTAGATCCTTACTTCAAATTCCTGCAGTGTTGGCTTGCCAAGGAAGATTGTATGTGTTCAAGGGTCGTACCATTTCATCCTTGGCACCGCATACGGTTTTGGTTGTATATGCATCCTAAGGTGGGACTTTTTTGTTTTTCTTTTCCTTACACTAACATTTTTTTAAATGGTTGATCTGCTAAAGAAAAAATCCTTCCTCTACAGGATTTCTTGCGCCAAAATAACACAGGAAAGCTGTTATGGCAAGTTTTTGGTGTTCATGCTGCTAATTTGTGCTTATTTGGCATTTCCGAAAATGAAGAAATGCTGTGGAATGCGTTAAAACTGGCAGGTTCTCATCAATTTCTTTTGATTTAAATGTAAAGTGACATAAAAACATATAAAACATTAGTATAACTAGTGCTGAACTGACAATGGTTACACAAAAAAAGGTTAAGTTAAATTTCTTATTCCGGGTAACATTATGGGTAACGTTATGTTGCCCTGGCAGGATTTTGTGTTAGCCTTACAATTCCATAGTCTAATACTCCAATGTCCCTGTTTGCATTATCTCTTTATATTTGAGCAAATTTAATTTCTGATCTTGTTGTTTCCTCTTTGATTTGATATCAAGCTGATACCTATCTGCTTTTTCTGTTAATTATGTCAGCTCTGAGTTGTTGACCCAAGTTTTTTATTTTATACGGAGTAAAATATTAAGTAGAGTAAAAGGTTGACACAGCGGATCAACCTTTATTATTTCCTTATTGCATATTTTTGCTACCAGGAAAAGACAAAGTTTGGTGTCTCTTTCCTAATAAGAATGCTGCAACAAAATCTGTTAAAGAGAGCCTTTTCCAGAATCCTTTGGATGATCTAGATTGCAAAACAAAAGCGGTATATCTTTCCTGATTGTTATATATTTATATCTCATAATGTTGTTGCATACTGTTTTAACTTTAAAAGTGTTTATACCAGATGTACTCACCTTAATAAATCAGAATATTGGTTTTGTGGGGTAATTATGTTTTATGCAGGCAAATTTTGATGACGTCTTTCACTTTGTTCTACTTGATGGCACCTGGAGCAATTCTACTGCTATGTTCAGCCGGTTAAAGGTATTCATTGTAGCTATATCATTCTGTGTTTTTTTGTTGCTATAAAATACTTCTTCCATTCTTTTTTAATTGCAATGTTTTCTATTTTCACGTTTGACAATACACAACTTTGATCACTGATATATTTCATTCCTAAAAAATGGCAATTTATTTATTCATTCATTCATTCATTTCTATTATATGAAGACTAAGAAATCTAAATATATGCCAAACAATTAAAAGTAATAGTATATCATTTTCTAAGATAAAACAAAACACAAGCAAATAACTTCCCTCATCCTTTGTTTTGCTTCCCTGTCATATCCCAGGATTTAAGCATAGCCTTGTTGTTTAGGAATTTTGGCATCCACCCTTTTACTTGATCTGAAATGGCTTATGGACAGGAACGGGCCAAGTCAATTTGGGGTGAGGGAGAGGAGTTGCCTTGCATCTCACTGAACACAGGGGTATCCTTGATGCATAGACTACGGTAATATTTACACAATGCAAGCCATCTTCTGTTTTGAATCCATAATTTATTAAGATTATTATTTTTCCTGAAGCATTGTGATTTATTTAGCACAGACCCCAACCATCTTGGGACCGAACATGTACAGCAGCTGCAGCAATTGGCCTCCTGCACGAGCTTCATCTTCTTCCCACTTTCGATTCCTATGAGCTAGACAAGCATGCTGATGCAATTGAAGATGCTTTGGAGGTTCTCTTAGATGCGCTAACCAAACGACGCCTTCGGATGGGAAGAACCATCGCCCGTATAGGTAGACATGGGAGCAAAATAATTTAGCCAAGAATTTATGCCATGCTGCTGACCTCACATCTGACCAGCATAGTGGAATTTGCCCAGTAATTTTAACAGTTCGGTAGCATTTTATTTTATTTTAAAAAACCCCATGTGATGTGTAACACTGTAACTTTAGTTGTGGACTCATGGGTACTGGACAAAAAACGCATCCTTCGTCTTGAAGGCAAACACATTTTGCCAAATCCAATCTTTGTCTAGCTATGACTTTGTTAGTTTTCTATTTTTGTTTTCTTGTTGTCCTATTCAAGGACTCTTCATTATCATTACCCCAGTGCCGCAAAGGCTCCACCTACGGTGGAGTAAGGGGGCTTGTATGTGCGTAGTCTTACCCATGTACTAAAGCATATATAGACTATTTCCGGTCTTCCGGATGATCCATAGTGAAAATCGCGTCGAAAATTGCCTGGATTAACTGTTGCTTCATAACAAAGAAGCGTCGACAGTTTAGTGAGTCATTTTGCTTTATTCCATCATATTCTCAAGCCCAAAAAAAGTAAATTTGGGTTTTCATTACAAATGATGGAAAGTGCCTTGTTAAGTATGTAACTTCGTTATTTTAAACGGACCAATTCTCGTGATTTTTTTATGAAGCTTTTAATGGAGAGCTAACCTCTCTATTTTAGGACATGTTTGCTTGATGTGGCGGAGAGCGATGTATCAAATAGGTCATATGTCATTTGTGCAGCTCAAGCTCTCATCACAGGTTTACGTCTCTCTAATTTCTCTGTAATTGAGATATTAGTTGTGTACTTGTGTGTATATGCATAAACTCCATATTTATATAAAAGCTTCTGACCGTGAAGGAGAGTGGAAGTTGGATTTAGGATCCTAATAATAATAATCTCTTAAAAAGGCTCTGGTGTGTATTTTGAATTCTTGGAAGAGCTCTTTTATTATTTCTGAAAAGGCCTACCTGGAGAGTCAAACCTACACTTCTTAGATTTTCAGACCAATCATTGCTTATAAAATATTTGGAGGTTAGTTATTTATATTGTAAGAAAGGGAGAGAAAAGCAAGAGCAAGGCTCACAATCTCACATCCTTGGAGAATTGTATCCTTGGGAAGTCGATGTTTGTCGAACATAGTTCTTACTCTGTATGTATATATACTCCGTAATATATATAGGGTCTTAAAGCTCCCATATGTGTTACTAAAAAGGAAATATGAAAATGATATGAAATCTTCTTCATTAAAAATACTATCACAAAAAAAAAATACTAGTAAGTTTTTCAGAAGTATATTATTAGTCAAAATCATAAACAGGATGGGTGAAAGATTCACTGGACATGTTGGATTTGGGAAAATTTTACCGTAATTGACTAATGAGTACAATGTACCCTGCACGAGTAGGCATGGACCCAGTCTGGAACCGGGTCCGGTACTGCACTAGATCCGTTTTTCCAGCCCCGAGCAAAGACCGGGTACCATCTGGATATATACGGTACCTAGTCTCGGGTTCCATTTTTGGGACAGAGCCGGGCGGTCCCGGTTGCGGTATCAGTCCTAATGATCAAAATGTATTTTTTTTTTGTAAATGTACAAGTCAATTTGATGTTTCAAATAAACTTCATATAGTTTGTTTGATGTATATAGTTTTTTGTTTATATACGAGACTGGGACCAAGACCGGTTGGGTTCCTGGAACCGTACTGGGACCCTAACTAACCGGATCATGCCCGAGCTTCAACAAATTCCCCCCAAAACTGGCCGGTTAGGGACATGAATTGGACCAGACTTGGACATGGCTGATGCCTATGCTCGGGTATTCATGCATTGGGGTGACTAAAATTGATCAAACTAGGACAAAATCAATACAAACCGACTACAATCGGCTAATGATACTCACTTTACTACGGGGTGCCTTTTTCACGAATTTCAATCACTTTTTGCAATGTCAAGAAGGTTAGTCTTGTTAATTAATTTGATATAGAGGTGGACTTGGTCTCGGTGCCAGGACAAGTCTGAACCAGGACTGGGAGGTTCTTGGGACCAGACTGGAACCTATAGAAGTGGTTCGATTAAGAGATTGGCCCTAGGGGTGGTTCATGAGGACTGGTCCTGGGCTGCCTTTTTTAGATAGACGCCAACCGGTCTAGTCCTAAGTTGGTCTATTTTTTTTGTATTCAACCCTTCAAAGCATTTTAAAGGGAGTGCAAGTCCATTTAAATGCTAAAAAGGGGTTGGAACTTGGAAGGGATGGTGAGGGTTTAAAAATATTTAAAATAATTAAAATCCGGGATCAGAACCGACCTGGAAATGGACTCTGTTATCCTATTTTGTTATCCTATGTAATCCTACGAATTAAAATGTACAGTAATGTTTTCGCACAGAGATAGAGCCACTTCCTACTTTTAGTCAATACTGATGCCCTTTTACCCCACTACATCAACTCGTTTGTATAAAATCTGCAGATTTTCATTTTAATGATGTGAATGACATAATCTAATTTTTTAATAACAGAGAAATTGATGTCTCTAAAAAACAACTCCATAATCAGTACTCCGTAATATTTATATTAAATGACATTGGCATGGCCACATCGATATTCAAAGCGGAATGTACCGGTAGGCGTAACTCAACTGTAGCAAGGGAGTGCCACAAGGGTTAGGTCTCGGGTTCGAATCCCGTCAACTGTGATGAGGGGTTACTATTCTAAAAATGCATAGGGCCTCTGCAAGTACCGAGGACAGAACCCCACCATCTACCTGTCAGATTGGGATTATAGTCCAATTTACATCCTCCCAACGTACCGTCCGGTCGAGGTTGGGGGCCCTCAGGGATGGGGTGTCATCTTTTCAAAGCGGGGAATGATGCTCATCATGAAGTTCTGAAGCCCAATGTCTCATCTTGGGACAATGATCTTTAAATACTTTTTCACACATATTTGCATATATTTGCACATTTAAAAGAACTTCATTTATGTTCTCAATGTTACTACACTCACCCGCTCATTTTTTCTCATGTTACTAGATATCAGATCAAGTTTTGAAATTTCAAAATAGGACTATCATGATTTTTATTCCCTAAATAAGAATAATTTCTGCCAAGTTTGGCATTACTAGGCTTTTAAACATGACATTTTTTATCAAACTTGGCAGATTACTCCTATTCAAGGAATAAAAAACATGGTACTCCTTATTTTGGAATTTCAAAGCGTTTTTACTCCTAATTAGAGTAATTTCTAATTTTTTATGGTAAAAGCCAGTAAAAGGTACTGCATGGACAAAAATGCATTACATTCATATATCGATAAAATGTTATTCACAATTCAATAAAATTTGGAAATCAGACACTTAGTACTGATTATTTTTCCAAATGTCAATTTCAGTTATTATGTCACTGTCATCGCAACTAGTGTCAGTGACATTGTGACCCCCTACACCAAATTTTAGTACTAATTTTTTTGGGATAGTTTTTGGACGTCTAAATTGACATTTTCAGGAAAAGATTCCATTGGTGGATGCCGGGCATCGGCGAAGTGGCATGGGGAAGGGTGGTTGTGGGATAAATATGTGCTGAATGTTGAGCGGATTTAGATATATTTAGGGCTTTAAAGTCACTTTCATAAAACAAACAGTTAATCATCACAAAGTGTAAAGGTACGTATCACTCATTTTCGTTTAATGGCATTCTTAACTAAGTAATTTGTGCTTTTTGGGAAAAAAAATGTTCGATGAATGGTTGAGGAAGGGATTTGACTTTTTTTCCGTGCCATTCTTTCTCCCGATCTTTGTGGCTTCTGTTATTTTCAGACCCCTTTCCCACCTTCTCTCTTTCTAACAAAACTAGAGAACACCATACAGAAGGGGGCTGTTGCCATTGTTAGGAGGAGGAAGTCAAAAAGGCATTTGGGTTCTCCGGAAAAGAAGAAATAAGAGATAAAGAAGGGAAGGAAATGGGGTTGAGATATTGCTTCTTTTTGCTTCTCTTCTTCCTCCTCCTCCTCGGTTTTGCCGCTCCCTCATACATTAAATGTAACATTTCTTCTTCAAAACTCCACCATGCCTATGTGGATTCTGCTTTATATCCACTAATCTGTGCATTTTGATTTTTATTTATTTACTTTGAAATTTAAAAAATATGTTTTTGATGGATGAGCAGATGAGGTGCTAGAGAATGCCGAAAGAACAGCAGGGCGTTTCCTTCTCCAGGAGAAACAAGGTAATGTGTTTTCTACTTTTCTTCCGGTGTAGTTACTGGGGTACGTAACACATGCAATGAAATTTAATATATCTATTCCTTCGTTTCATACTTTCTTGCTACGTATTTTGAATCAAAGATACAATCTTTTCCTTTCTTTTAATATGTTATTAAGGATTTAATCAAGCATATCGTTTCAGGGTTGTCATATTGTGAAAATTTTGAATATATAGTGGGATCATTAAATGCCATTTTTTTCTTTTGTTGCAAAATGAATATGGAGTGAGCAATAGAAAACAATGCAAGAAAGACCTTTTATACATCATTCGTAGACAAGTGATGTAAAGCATTGATTTTTAAAATTTGATACTTAAATGTTAATTATAATTATAATTCAGTGCAAATTAAGATACCCCACTTTTAAAACGTTATTTAGAGCCCGTTTGGTGACCCCCTTTTTCGGCTTATCAAGATTTTTCACCAAACACGTAACTTTTTATTTCGCGCGTTGAATTTTGTAATAAGCAGAAAAGTAAGGTTGTAGTTACTTTTCTGGCTGTATTGGCTGAAGTTACTGTAGATATCATTTTAGCTATTTTTCATATAATTTTTCATATAATTTATTAATAACAGATATTTTAAATACAATTTTCTCATTAATCAGCAGAATCAGCCAATACAGCCACTTCAGCCAGAACTTCATAAATTTCAACAGAATCAGTCAATTCAGCCAATTTTAATGTTACCAAACGGGCTCTTAAATAGGAGTAAAACGTTATTTAAATAGGAGTAAAATATAGACATAGTATACAAAAGCCTATATTCATTGATTTTTTCTAAAATCGTTAGTCATTTACTCCTAATTACGGAAATGTGTACTTCTAATTGGATCAATTGATTCCTATTTTTAGAATCAAATATAGTTACTGCTATTTATGAATTGGGAAAAGGGGCAAATAAGGCCACGTACTAACAAAAAAAGGTCAAATAAGGCCTTATTTATGAGACTCTGTCCGGCCTTCGCCATTTGGGTTGGTTCTAGGTGGAATTTTTTGATGAAATTTTTTGAGCATCTTATTCAGTAAGTCTAGTTTACTCATACCAAATTTAAGCTAAAACTTCAATCGGGAAGCCATTCAAATGAATTCTTGAAGATAATTGCGCAGTTAAAAGCGCAGTTATCTTCAAGAATTCATTTGAATGCCTTCTCGATTAAATTTTTATCTGAAATTTGGTATGACCAAACTAGACTTAATGAATAAGATGGTCAAAAAATTAATCAAAAAATTCCAGCGAAAACCACTCAAAATGGCGAAGGCCGGACAGAGCCTCATAAATAAGGTCTTATTTGACCTTTTTTGGTTAGTACGTGGCCTTATTTGCCCCTTTTCCCTTATGAATTTTGTCTATATTTTAGTTTTACTTGGAGTAATTCTAAGAATATTTTTTTTAAATACGACAAAAACATGAACCATTCCCTCCTAATTGGGGTAGTTTTTGTACTTTTAAAACGATCAAATAAAATTTAGTTATTCCTATTCAGTGACGGAAACATGGGAGGGCCAACCTTGATCTTGGTTCAGCCCAAATTTTAAAAATGTCTTACTTTTTAAGGTAAAAAAATTCGGGCAAAAAAGTTTTCGAAATTTTTCTTTGTATCGGTCCACTCCGACTCAGTGTCCTCGCTCCGTCCCTGATTCTATTTGTGCACCTGATCAATATTTTACGCATATGTTCTTCATGAATATAAGAGAGGCTGATTTGAGTAGTTGTTGGGCCATGGAATATGTTGGTACAGATTGCCCAATAGACATGGAGAATCAAAACTATACAATCGTAACGAGCCAATGCAAGGGGCCCAAATACGACGGGAAGGTATGCTGCGGAGCATTCAAAGAACTGGCCTGCAAAAACAGGGACGCGCTCAACGCCGAGAACAACTGCGCCACCGTCATGTTCAACTATCTCCACCTCTACGGCAAGTACCCACCTGGCCTCTTCGGCAACCTCTGCAAGGAAGACAAGAATGGCCTCGACTGCAAGCAAGTCGACGAGAAACAAGCCGCCGCCGCCGCAGCAGCAGCAAAGAGTGCTGCTGGAAGAGGTTTTCAATCATCGGCGGTGTTGCTCGCCGCCGCGGCTGCTCTAATAGCGCTATTTTGAATCTTCTGAAGTAAAAGGATTCGTGTGAATATTATGTTAGAATTCATAACTGAGTCATTACTATGTCAAGAAATGTAAAAATGAGAACGAATTCTAATCCGATCCTTTATTTCAAATATTGGAATTGGTTACTAACGATCAACTTAAGAAAATTTAGGGGTTGTTTACTTTTTTTTGCATTAAGTCATGAATGGATTAAGACGTCTGTCTTCATTAAGATGTTTGTCTGCTGTCTGTCTAGATTAAGTGATACTGAGATAACAAACTGTTTACTAAGTGTGGTGAATGAGAAGTCTGAATGATGTCAAATGACCAAATAACCCTCCTGTCTAGAACAAGTGTTGAATATATATTGTCTGTTTACTTTTCTTTTACCTATAAATAATTTCACATATAATAATACTATGAATTACTTAAATAAAAGAGTAACATTACATGATGAGAAAAAGTTAAAAGTTTTACGGGAACAACATTTTAAATTTAAAAATTCTTTACTAGTCTATTAGCAATTTCATCCCGCAAATTCGTCATATATTGTAGATTTTGCACACCCTATTGTGCTCCATGTTCTTCTTCTGCTTCAATATCTTAACCTGCGAGAAAAACTGAAAATCATGTCTTAATGGAGCCCAAAAATGAAGGTATTATCTTCAATAGGACACATAATATGCCAACAAAAAGGATGCTACAGAACTTGAAAAAACTGGAGAAGTGATGGCTAAAACTGAACCATTATATTGTTCATCCTTGCATCAATTTTGGGAGGCAGCACATTAGTTCACAAAGAGGGGACAGCACATCAAATTTTACAAACTTCGAAATAGCATTATTGATTTCTATTCTTACATCATAGATGAAATAAAGAAAAAATCACAAAAAGAATTTCACATTACAAGTTTTGGTCCGGATTTTTGTGTGGAAAACCTACCAATTTGGCACAAAAAATTATCAACACCTAAGCCATTTCATTTAGCATTTCAAATAACGCTAGTAAATGAAGAATGAAACAGAGGCAACCAGATAACAACATTAGTTTGACAGTGTATAAACTTTGGGGCTAGGGCTATGGTTAAGAGTATGAAATTGAATAAACATATAAATCAAGAAACAATTGATCAGAGAATCGTATGTAAGGCAGCGATCATAAAATAAAACAAAACCGGATAGTATGAGAGGAAAGACCAAGGTGACTGCTAAGGTCGGCATCTCTGGTGTTGTCCGTGAAGGTTGCTCGGTCCCTTAGAGCTGTGGCGGCTAATGATTTACGAAGTATCTGCCGGAGGAAGCTATGAAACGTCGATAAAGAGAAGCAAGGTTAAAAAAGAGAGTATTCCATCGCTAATATATCTGAATGGTAAGGACTATAGAATTTGGACCGAGCGAATAAGTCATAAATTGACTGAGCGAATAAGTCAAATTTTAGATTAAGTCGTAAGTAAACATGATTATATAGCTTATCAATTAAGTCATCATATCCATCAAGTCCATGAAGTTCCAAGTAAACAGAACCTTAGTTAGTCATATGCATTCAAATTATTCTGGTAACCACTTCATTTCCATATTAATTTAAAATATATTCTTCTCTCAAATCTTGATTACAAATAGCTCATCGGAATACCCTTAGTGACATCCAGAGACAAGAGAGAACTAATTTTAGTTGTATTAATAATTTTTGAACTGTTTCTGTTTGCTCCCAGAGCTAAATGTTGGGTACATTAAATATACGTACACGTGCAAATTAGTATATGGACAAGAGCCCCATTGTGTTGCAAAATCTTACGTGTTGCGTTGCGTAACCATCTGCTGAGTAATGGATGAGATGATTGATCCAGGACAAGTGGTGAAGAGCCATCGTCCTTGTTTATGTCCCTTTGTCTTGTGAGCTAGTTCCCGTCGGACGGAGTATTTCTATGTTGGACGTGGTGCTAGAGGTCAAGGGGCCTTTGATGGACCGAGGTGACTGCCTGGCAAATTCCAAATAGTTTGTATTGTTTCCAGTTGCTTTATGAGTATGGTCCTTTATATGTCCGAGCAGGGGCAGACTGATGAAATATATATTGGGGGCCGTAGACCAGTGGCGTATTTAGAATTTTTTTCCAGTAGTGACCAATATACACTAGAACTTATTCACATATTTCACAAATAGTAATTGACATTATTAATATTATTTGATTAGGCTTATTTAAGTTATAAATGTGCCAGTATGTATAAAAATAAGATCAATTTATATTACATGCATGCAAATATATAATTGGAGATAAAGTTTGATAAAATTACCTAAATATACAAGTTAAAATTAAATTACAAAATTTGGTGAATTTTTTATCATTTTATATTTTTAATAGGATTTATAGCGGAGAAAACACTCCTAATCTTATTTTAGATTTTTCCATATGGTTAACTCCTATTTTGAGAAACTTCTTGTAAGTAGAGGTGTTCACCGGTCCAAAACCGGACCGGACCGGAACCGGTTAGGACCGGAATCGGAATCTTAAATTTATGAGAACCGAAGACCGGACCTATTACTAACCGGTCCAGACCGACCCGGACCGGAATTATCCGGTCCGGTCCGGTTTTGACCCTAATTAACCCGGTTTTTTAAACAAAAAATAATAACATAGATTTTTATTTCAAAAAATAATCTGATGAGCAAATATGCGTAGTAAATGTTTAATTCATATATCAATATTAGCATATAAATATTTATTACTTCCCTAGTGCACACTACAAACTAGCAGACTGTATTTGTAGTCTTGAATTCTTGCAGGTTGCAACTTAAGAAACAGACTTGAGAATATCATAAAAATATATAAACTACAACCATATACCATATTGCACACCTATAGAAAAGGTACTGCATAAAAAACAAACTGCATTGTAGTTTTAAATCATAGCAAATCAAATAATGAAAATTCAATTTTGCAAAAAACAAAACATACTGCTATTAACTTTAAAAAGATACTATGAACGTATATTGGGTTTCCCTAATTTAGTTCGTAAAATAAATGGGCCACCGGTTACAAGCCCTAAAAATGGAAGTATTTTTTTGGGAAAAGTAATTTAACGGGTAACCGGTCCGGACTGGTATTTTTCCGGGTTTGACCCGGACCGGACCGGAACCCGGAATTTCAATATTCTAAAGACCGAAACCCGGACCGGTTAATACCGGTCCAATCCGGTCCGGTTCAGGTCTAAATTATTGTCCGACCCGGTTAATGAACACCCCTACTTGTAAGGTTTTAGGTTATATATGAGGGTAGGGTTGGGGTTGAGGGGGGAAACTGTCCCCACTGCCTCCACGTTCCATGGATACAAAGCCATTGTAGAAGAGACAAATATATTATTATAAAAGAGTAAAGTTAATATCTTAAATTGTGTCTGATATTCTTTCGAAGAGATAAATTTCTAAGTTACAAATTTTGAGTCAAAAGTTTATGAGAATTGCCTTATTTTTGAATTCATGGAATTTTTAATCTTAGATCGATAGCCTTCAATCTATCGGGTCTATAAGTTTTATCTTTCAAGATCCTTATTGATAATGAACTAATCTTTCATGCTCCGAATTGATAAAATTCTTTAAAATAGTACTCCCTCCTATCTATTTACTTGTCACACTTTTTTGGGTGTATCAAATTAATTGTCTCCTTTCCTTTTTTAGAAAGAATCTCACTCAAAAAGCAGCTAAAGTACCACTACAGTACCGCAACAGTACCGCTACAGTACCAAAAACCTCTTACTTTTTATAAAGTATACAGTAATTGTCTTAAACTCCGTGAAAAGCAAACGGGTCATCTAATTAGATACAGAGGGAGAAATATTTAATACTCCTTTGTCCCTAAAAACTTCATCAAGTTTGACTGCCACGAGAAATAATAAAGTGAAAATTGTGTGATTGAAATTTGTATAGATAAAAGAGAGAAGCAGGGATCACAAGTTAATTAATTAAAATAAAAAGTGACAAAGTTTTTTGAACATTCAGAAAAAGAAAGATTACAAAATTATAAGGGATGAATAAAGTACATGTCTATTATTTGTTAAGATGTCATATAAGGAATTATTTACAATTATCTAATGCATGTCATCAATTGCCGAAGTTTTATTTTCGTTAAGATTTAGACTAGACCATATTAGATTTAGACAAGTGCATCATAACATAGAACAAACATCTATCATATCAAATCAGACTTAAACATATCAGAGCATAAAATTTTATTGTAATGAAAGATATCTTATTTAGGAAAGTAAAAGACGTAGTGAATGCATAGATCAAATGTGATATACTTTCAACGAGATGATTTTTATCGATTGTAGTGGTGGCTGATCACCTATAATTAGTGGAGAGTGACAATCTACCCCTTAATTACAATAATCAACATGTAAGTATAAATGTTATTGATAACATTAATATTCTCCATTATTGATGATCATCTGGTTCCTATTGTGACTGCGGTGTAGAGCAGACGGAACAAGGACCTTTCGATCCCCAAAGTTGATGGTTTCACTTGGTTCTTGCATTGACTGTGTGTCCAATCACTATTTAATTATCTCCATATGAAATTATATATTAATAATTAACATTAAAAATATGTACATTTTAATAATATGAAATACTAGTTTTAGGACAGAGGAATATCCACCTTTGACAAATGTTCAAAATTAAATATTGACCTAAGAAAGTACTCCATGTATGAAAAAACACAGCGCACAATCTTGGGATGGAACCAATGATGTTTGCGGCAAATAATGGGTGCATTTATCCGTCCATCCATATTTGACCGAATCGTGGAGGCCGGTGAACGGTTGGCCCTCTCCTCCTAGACTGGAAAGTAGAAAGTGCCACGCCGCAATAATAATAATAATAATACCGTATTTGGTTCTTTATTCTTGCTTTGATTTTATTGGAGAATATGGTTCTTGCTAAATTCCCTAAAATACAAAATGTGTAGGGACTCCGATAATATGAATATATGATTGGTAACAAGATTCAATCACCTAATAAAAAATTGATAGCAGTAATAGATAATAGAGATCCAATCTATATAATTTTAGCGAGAGTTGAGCTCAAAAGTGGAGAAGAAGACGAATAGTAGAAATGATTATTAATACTACGTATTAAATTATGAAATTAGGGTTATAATGTCTCCATAGGAAATATATAGAGAGAGAGCGGGTCAAGCCACTAATATGGACTCGATGGGTCCA